ATTTTTTCCTTCTCTAGAGATTTCTTCTTGATTTTGTAGGATAAAGTTGGCTTGTTAGAAGGTAGTTCTTGTCTTTTAGAACTTCTTGCATTTAATACGTGGGGCGTAAGGTTCTTGCTTATATCTTTCTTTATTATGATATTTTTCTATTGATTCTGCATTAGACATCTCCTAGAAAAGCCTAGAATCGTAGTATTTAACTGAATATTTTTGTGCTTGAACTATTTCTCATTGATTTCTAAAAGATACTAGTACATAACCTTTGTTGTTTCTATTTGAGTTCTTGAAAATATGCATTGCACTTACACCAGTATGTTTTAGTTGCTTAAGCAGTAATACCTTATTTATATTTTGTGGTATATTGTATAATCTCACTATAAACTGTTTTCTGTTTTCAAGTATTTCTTTTCTGTTTGATTTAGGAGTAATATGTACTAAAAGTTCAATTGTGAGAGGGATAACCCAAGCTTCGATCCCTTGTACAAAGCTACTTCCTTTTTCAAAAGATACTTCTGCTTTTATTTTTCTATACTTTTCTTTTATCATTTTAATATTTTTAACGCGACTCAAGTGTTTAATTGCAAAAAAGACTTGTGACCTTGATATATAGTAGAGTATATCTCATACAGTAATAGTCTCTTCTTTGTTCGGATAAGATTCTCTCTCATTAGCTATACCATTGGTTCTACAGAAGACTTTTTCTTTAGTTGGAAGAGTTTCTTGTTCGTACATTCTTTTTTTCCCTTTATCTTTTGAGGATATTACTTTTTCTTCTTCTACTTGAGCATAAGCTGTTTCCTTTTTTTTTTTACATTACCCTTTTTTATTGTTCGATTTGTTTATTTTCGTTATTTAGAATTGTCTTTAAAAGAAATATATATATATATTAGTATTTTATTCTTTATTTTAGTAAAATTTCGATCTTCTTGCAGCGCCGAAGAGTTCTTATCAATAACCTATTTGTATGGAAAATTGTTAAATGTAATTACGTTGTATTTAATTGGTAAAACGACGTGGTCAATCATATATATTATAATTTGGGGTGGTATGTACTTTTTTCTCGTTTTCATCTTTTTTGTCCTGTTACTAATCTTTTTTTTTATTAAAAAACATAATCTAGGATTATTTGCTATTTTACCTCAACCAACATACCAAGGTCGTTCAGAAATAATAGAATTAACAGACGAAGATTTGCACGATATCCAACATAACAATTATCGAGTTTCTAAGATTAGTGAAATTACTAGCAATGAAAAAAACAAAGGAAAAACCGAAAAAGATCAATATTGGGTGATCTTTTTTTACGTTTTATGGAGTAATGCATGCAGAAATTTTGAGTCCACCGTCGCAAAAACCTCTTTAAAGTAGGTTGTCTTTAATCCTTTGTTGAAAAATAGACATCAAAATAATTAACCTTTAATTATCAAAAGGTATACGACTTCAAACGTTCGTTTTGGCAAAGCTGACTTGGAGCGATATCCTGCACTAGCTGAAGAACATAATATTTCATTATCACCGACTAGTTTGGATCTTCCTATGTTGATTTTATTTAAAAATGGCAAAGAAATTTCAAGACTACCCCAAAAGATTGATGAATCAAATGATGATTTGAATAGAATAAAAAGTAAAGCACTTCGAGATGTAAAAGTTACATGGGATCGCCTGGGATGGGACAGAAGCATGGTAATAATTTTTCTTATCAAATAATTTTAATAATTTTTATATAAAATGGGGTTCTGATTAATTTTTTACCAATTTTAGAAATCGATCATTACTGTATTTAAACTTGAAAGTTTACACAAGACAAATTGAGAATTATATAATATATTTTTTAATTAAATTATATGTTTCAAAATCGATACTATATTGAGTATACTCATTATTATTATTATTATTATTATTGAACATAAATTTTATACAAATAGAATTTATTTTGAATTTGTAACTAATGTCCTTGCTACATTATTTTCAATGAATAGACTTTTACTGGATTAGAAACTTATCAGAATCTAAAATCCACATTCAGTCATGTATAATATTGAGAAATTCGAATTATACAGATTAACCAATTATAATTCTGCATCATATTTCATAAAGTCAATACTAACATGAAATTATATCTACACTACTATTTGATAGTAGAGGGCATCATATCAAGCACCAATTGAACACATTTACTAACCCTGACTTGTCCCAATTGACCTTGTTGTGATTCCAATATCATGATTATGATCCAACTTTGTTGCAATAATTTCCCATAATCCTGAGGTACCATTCAAAGATGCACGAACTAAAAAAGGGCATCTACATCGTTGAGATTGGCGATTACGCGTTGGTTTATCACCACCTTCCTTTTTTTTACTTGAAGTTCCATTACGCGAACAAACTATTTCTCTCCATCGTACGGCACCAGTTTTGCTTCTCTTTAATTTGTGGAGTCTCATGGTAAAACCTTGTTGTATCGCATATTCTTGGACTGCTATTACAAAGTCGGTATGGCTTGTAAATGTACTGCCATGACTTAGATAACCTTGCTTACTTTTCGTGTTATCGTCGTTTGTTTCCTCAGGCTTTGTTGAAACAGAAGAAACAAGCGAAATCAGGCAAGTGCTTGTTGGATCCTCTGTCTTAACAATATTAGTTGTTAGTGAATCTCTTAGAGAAGTTATTGTTTCACTTGTCTGTAGGTTAGGAAGCGAGTTATCCATTTCTGATGAAAAAGATTACTTTTAGATTATCAAATTATATATGTCGAAAGTTCTTTTGATTTTCTATAATCTTTAAATATGATTGGTCAATATTTTATGCGTAAGTATTCGACATTTTCAATTTTAAATTTGGAAAAGTTTAAATAATATCATGTGAAAGTCACGTTGTATCAAACATAGTAATTAAAATATTGATGCACAGCCATTTTATAAGTAAAATTTTAACTAACAAATTCTGGTTCAAATAAACCCGAAGTGAACTAAATTATGACATCAAGCATCGTTTTCGATGCTATTTTTTAGTGGTCGTAAAAGTGCTCATTACTACAATCAATGAAAATAGAAATTGTAATCAATGCTTGAGCAATTCTTTATTGATCTCTATCATTTATCAAATGCACCGTCAAAAAATAAAAAGCAGTCCAACACGAAAGAACAAATGCTACTATTCTTCGAACACAACCTAATGAGGCATCAATTTCAACTGCTCCTATTATCCTCGTCATCAATTAAAATATGGAAATATGTCAACCCAGAATCCACCGGTTTAAGATCCTCGTTTATGAATCTGACAAAGAATTATTGATGGAATTGTTGAATTTGTAATGAATAAAAGCTGAGATAGTATCTTCAATTATTTTTTGAACTTCACGATATTTTTTATTTTCCATAAAGATAATAAAATAACAATTCGTTATGCCAAGAACAAAGATCCATGGGCAAAGTTACTTGAGCGATCTCTATGAATACTCTATTGATGGTAAAAATTTCCAAGTCAGGTATTTTTTTACTATATATCACCTCCCAACCCTTGTTTATTAAAAAGGAGTTGTTGGTTTAATTTTGGAACAAGCATAAATCAATCGTAGTTTAGTTTGGAGAGTGTAATAAAAAATAATGATAAAATAACCGCCATTTCTTCTTACAAAATTTCAAGGGTGATTAAAAATAAAACGACAACTAATTTTAATACCTGTTACCAATTTTTTATGATTTATGCTACTTGTTTAAATCGTAAAAAATTGGCAAACTTTGTAGTCAAGATTATTATTCATTTTATTTTTAACTACTCTTAAAATTTTGTGAAAAGAACCTTTTAATGCTAGAAAATAAGCAATCTTTTGCCTCAAGATTGAATGTTTTTTTTTTCTTTATTAAACAAGAATGGAAAGCATTTTTTTTTTTAAAAATTTAAATATAAAATTTAGATATACCGATTATTTTTTATGCCTCATGATTCATGCCTAGCAAATCAGATAATATCATGGGAAAGTCTCCGGACACCTACCAGTTCACGTGATTTGTACCTACCAAAAAATTTAAAGTTTAAATAATAATAACTAAATATTTTATTAAGCGAAAGTATCTTTAGCCTCTAACTAAAGTTGTAGAAGCCATAATTCTGAATCTAATAGTATCAAAATTATAAAAATTGGTCCATTGGATCAATCACTAAATATAAGTATTTAAATCTTCGCAATATGTAAAAACCTATACTTACCTTATATTCGCGAAAGAAAAATACATATATCTCACGATCAACTAGGCCAATTTTAGCATTTTTGGTGTTTTTTGAATTGGAATGATGGCTTCTAAAACTTTAATTAGAGGCACAAGAGTGTTTTACTTAGTAAGATATCAGAAAAATGTTTTTAATATTTTATAAAATATAATTTTTTAAAATATTTTACTAAGTAATTTTTAGTTGTACTGTTATCAAATAAACTTTAGCATATTTTCTTAATTATTTATTATTATTATTATTATTTTTTTCTTAGGTGATCTTGCCTTTCATTTATTAAGAAAAAACATAAAACATGTTATAGTAAAAATATAAACTAAATAAAACTAGCTATACAACTACCTTCTTGACTTAAATTTAGACTTACTTAGCTGCTTAAAGTGTTCAGATGCAATCTGTTGTAATAACAAATTTTTCTCCCAAAAGAGTAGAATGTCTAAACAAAGTCTTACTCTAAAGATCTACAGAAGGTTACTATGCACCTGTATTAAAATTGTTTAATTGTTTTTAAAACTTAACTAACTATCCTTAATTTCTCTTTCGATCTATCTTTTAACTTTGTTTTCAGCTTCTTTTTGAATTCTTATTTCTTTATCTTGTTCTAATTCTTTTACCTCTTTTTTTATTGAAGCTTGATTTTCTTTATTTTCTTACTTCTTCCTCACTTTGGTTTAGGAGATATGATTAGATTTTTTCTTCTTTTTCTTGTTGTCGATATCATTTCTTTTTTCTTACTCTAATATTATCTTACTGTGAAATTTTCAAAGCCTTTCAAAGAAGTTTGACTAGAATATTTCAGTGAACTAGCAAATAGCTTTGTTCATTTTGGAAGTTGAGCCTAGAAGGTCTTTGGTTTTTGCTACTAAATTTTTGCTAGTGAGCTCCTGTATATGGAGTTTTCTTTTTTGAAGCTTAGTTGCTGTATTTGAACCTAAAAAAATCTTGTTAAGTATTTGGTTTCTTATTGTAATTTTCTATTTAAAACAAAGCTGTTACTCTAGCTCCTCCATTATAAATACTTCTATTTTTTTCTAAATCCTTTGATATATTTAGCATTCTGCTAAGTGCTTTAATGACTCTACCTTTACATAGCAGATAATACAAGTTTTGCTTTTGTAAAGTACAGAATTCCTTTGATAACATGTATCTTTTGTATGTAAAAGCTTATTAAGGTATTTGATTCTAAATATTAGTATATTACTTTTCTTAATGCTTGTATATCTTTTATCTTATCAGTTTTTTAGTACACTCTATATATTGTTCTAGTTCAAATCTGAATTACTTAGATCTATTGCTTTCTGATTTAGTACTAGTTTGATACTATTTAAGTTTGCTTATATATTCTCGTTTATTATTATTATAGTTAAATTAATGAAAGATCTAAGTGCAGTGTCTATTATTTTTCCTTTCCAAACAAAAAATGTTCTTAATTTACTTATTGATACTTTTTGAGTCTTGAGTATAAAATCAAATATAAAACCTTTTTTCGCTAAATAATCTGCCTTATTATTCTATATGTTCAAGTTATACCTTTTGACTTTAATTAGCTCTAGTTTGATTTCTTTCATTTTGCAACAATCTAGGATTTGGTTAATTAAACTATAATTTTTGGCTTTAAAGTTGCTCCTTATACTTATTAGACTCTAAAAGTTCTGAATTCCTTCAATTGCTACTTTATTATCAAAAAATATTCTAACCTTTACTCTATATAGTACAACTAGTAGTGTTGCCCAAATTGCATCTAGTTTAGCATAAGTCAAAAAGGGCTAATTTAGTATTCTACTACTAAAACTTATACTACAATTGCTACTACTATCATCTGCTATAACCTATCTTATATCTATCTTTTTAATTTTTTTGTTTTCTAATGTTTCTATAACTAGTAAACTATCTGTATATATATCTAACTCTTTTTTCCTTTTGATGATTCTAGCTAACCTACATAGTTCTACTTATACTTTTTTATCTTTTACTACTCTATATATTACTGCCTCCTTTATATCTACGATACAAATTTTTATATCTCTAATATCTCTACTAGCTACTATACTATCTAACTCTCTGTCTCTCTTGTAAGCTGAAACTGAGATTTTTGTATATGAGACCTCTTTATTTCTATAAACTTTCCTAGCACTTAATACTATCTTTCATATTTCTGTCTAATTATACAGCTTTAGTCATTACGCCTTTCAAGATCACAGCTTTTAAACTTTTTTAACATAGTATTGTCCTTATTATCATTATTAATTATTAATTATCAGTACTCTATAATTAATAATTTGAACTCTTTTTTTATTACTTTTTTACTTTCTACTTTTATTCTCTTCTCAAAAATTATCTACTCTTTCTTTTTCTTGTCTGCAGAGACTTTTCTATCTTTGCATCTAATTGCTATTTTATTTGGTGTTTCTACCTAATAATCTTCTTTTATCTTTCTTGAACTACTATTTTCAAGTACTTTTTCTTCTACTTTTTTGTACCAGTTTGGCTTATGTCCTCTACTTTTAAGATTTCTAATATGCTTGACTTGTTGTCATGTTAACAAAGTATTCCCTTCATTATTGATTAGTTGCTCAAGTATAAAAATATTCATATTGTTACTATTGCTATAGTTGATTACTTCTTTTCTCTCTAGTATAGTTAGTAAGCTAGTATCTCCTATATCTGGTTTATTTTCATATGCATTACTTTGTTGAAAGCTAAATTTGAGTTTTTTGCTTCACTTATTACTCTAAATACTAGATTGAACTTGAGCTTAATATCTTCAAGCCTCTTGTTGCTACTTGTAATATTACCTAAACATATTCTTTTTAATTATACTTTATTTATTCTAAATCTAGTAGTTACTTCTAATTTGTCTGATCTGTTCATATATATTGTTAGCTCTGTAATATAGTATGCTAACTGGTTTTGCCAAATTGTACATATGCCTAAAATTTTAATATAACTACATATGCTATTTAGAGCTAACTTAGCTAAATCTATCTTGTTTTTAATTAATATCTAAATAGGTCTCTATATACATCTACATATGTTTTTTGAGAGAAATGAGGTTTGAAGTCTATACTCAATACTTGGTAATAAAATACTATTATTCAAATAGACTAGCTAACTAACTAAGGCGTTTTTCTACTATATTGCTTTACATATTTTTGCTATCTCCTTCATAATTATTAGTTCATTATATTCTTTTTCATCTTTTTCTGAAATCTAAACTCCAAAATGTTTAATTGCTTCTTTCTCTTTTTTTGCTCGTACTATTTCTTTAAATTTGTCTAGTTTGATCTCTAATATATTATCTTACTTTTTGTTTTTAACTTTGTGATTTAATACTAAGAGCTCTGACTTCTTACTATTTATTTTAATATCATTAAGCTTGTAAAACTCAGTTGAGATATCAATTATTTTTTGCATCTCTTCTTTGGATCTAGCTATCTACATTGTATCTTCTACATATGCCAAAACACTTTGTTGCTAG